TATATATATATATATATATATAATATAAATATATATATATAATATATATAAAAATATACAGTATATATATATATATTGATATAAATATATATATAATATATACTATATACATATACGTATTAAAAAAAAACAAATAATATATCAATATATATATATATATCAATATGAATATATTCTATAAAAAAAAAATACATATATCTTGCATGTATAAATTTTTATTGGCATGACTTTTATTTGCTTTTCATTTGTTAGTATCTGACTTAATTTTTATAGTTGATACATAGCTTTTATAGTTAGTCTTAAGTACTCGAACTACTTCTTTATCTAGATATTCAAGGCTTTTATTAATATATTTCTTAAGGGCAGGAAGGATAGTAATTTCTACAAAGTTTCTCTGCTGAAGCCAGCTTTTATTCTCATTTACTGACAGGTAGGGACTATCATATGCCAATTGTTTAGCTACCCAAAGTACTTCTTTCTGTATTAATAAAATAAAATATATATTAAAATATATATATGGTATATTATGTAATTCAATATTAATATTATTGAAAAAAAAAGACCCTAAATACTTTTTTATACTTAGCAGCCATCAGTACTAATTGCTCATACTTAAACCTTGTCTAGGTTGGATTATACGACTTGCCAGATAAAAATGAATTTTCTCTTCCCTTATCTTTATGACCTTCACTATTATTTTTATTTTTATCATTTATATTAATATCATCATCATCAATATTTATTTCATCTAATAAGTCTGCTACAGTAGATAATTGGGTCTTTTCAAGATGTTTTAGTCTTTTTTTAAGCAAAGCGTCAGATAATTAGACTTTTTCAAGATATTTAGGCAAAGTGTTAGATGATTGGGTCCTTTTAAGACGTCCTAGTCTTTCATTAAGCAAGGCAACTTGGAATCTTAGAGCTGAATTTTCTAAAATATTAGCAATAATTATTAGCTGATATTCATATTATAAATAATAAAATCATTATTGCTTACCTTCTCTCAATGCTCTTCTTTCTAAAATTGTCATATAATTAGATTTATATTAATATTATGCAGCTGATATCCTTATCACTCTTATTATAAAGCTATGCAAATTTAATTAATTGGTTCTTATAACCTAGTTAGCTTTTTTTTAAAATTTTATATATAATAATTTATAAAAATTTTATAAAATTTTTATAAATCATTATATAAAAAATTTTAAAAAAAAGCCAACTGGGTTATGAGAACTAATTAATTAAATTTGCATAGCCTTATAATAAAAAATATACCTTCAATATCCCTTGACCTATTATGATCATAATTATGTAATCTTTCATGAGAAGGTAAGTGAGAATGATAAGTACAAGAATGGTGAGTATGTGAATAAGAATAGAGGGTATGTAAATATGAACATGAGTGACGAGTATATAAATGAGAATAGTGAGTATATGAATAAGAATGAGAATGATGTTTTTGATAATAAGAGCGAAAATTCTGTGAATAGAAGCTAGAACAAGAATGTGAACGATGCTTTTTTCTTGAATACATTGTTTGGTGTGATCTTAAAGAAGGTTCAAAATGGAAAAAAGTTGATTTTTTCACCATGATATAGTAATCAGATAAAAAATGACCAAAACTTTCAAAATTTTCAAAATTTCAAAACTAAAAAAAAAAATGAATACAGAAAATCTGATACTTCTATAATTTTCAAAAAAAAAATAACAAATATTGAAAAAATATTTACTTATAGTTAAAAAACTATAAGAAAGTAAAGTTAATGAATTTAATATTTCTATATTCTTTCAAACAGGAATCTTAAAACAAAAAGTAATTATTAAAAGATGTACCTACTTGTATTAGAAAGCTGATAGAAAAATCAAAAAAATAAATAAATAATATGAACATAAAAAAACTGTTCAAATAGCAAAAGATATATCTACTTCTATTTGGAATAGCAGAGAGAAGAAAAGTAGAAAATTATTAGAGAAAAATGAAAAAAGGTTTGTTAATTAAAGAAAGTTAATAAGAAAAATAAAAAGGAGTTATGCGAAAGAATATTTACTAGTTAAAGTAATACTATAAGAAAAAAAAGTTAATAAGGAGAAATGAAAAAGAGCTATACAAAAAAAGATATTTATTCATGAAAGTAATACCAGTAAGAAAAATATGAGAAAAAAAGAAATATGAAAATAGCTACTTTTTATATTTAATAAAAGAAATGTAAAAACAGTTAATTTTTATATTTAATAAAGATACTATTACCATAAACTAATAATTTTTATAATTATTATATTTTTGTAAACATGAATTAAAGAAATAGAGCTATATAGTATAATTAATAATTTTTATGATTATTATATTCTAGTATACATATAATTAAAGAAATAAAAAAAAAAAAACAAAATGATAGATTAATTGGTAAATCTTTTTAGCAACTCTTTCTGTAGATCACTTGTAC